GAAAAAAAAGGGATAAGAGAAAAAAAAGAAAACAAATACTTTTTTTTGTTTGTTTTTGTGTTCCCTTGCAAATATGTTTTGCATTATCTTGCAAAGATTTTGTGCGAGGAAAAGCAAACACTTCCTGTTCACTTTATACATGTCAACCCTCCCGTTTTTGCCATCATTCTCCCGTATTTTACCATTCTATCCAGCCATCATCCCGTTTACATATTTTCCCATATTTTTATTTTGAAAGTACATTGACATTAATATAAAAATATTGTTCAATTTTTTATTCCTTTAAAGCTGTGCGTCAAACCCTTCATATGCAACCTCTGAATCAGCAAATTCATGTAAATACGCTGAAAGACGGACACACTTCATATGATAAACTGATCCCAGATCAGCTTACACAAAACATCTTTGCATTCCTCACAAAACATATGTGCGAGTGTAACGGGGAGACTGACACGGAGGGATCCATTTTGCAGTATTTATGAAGTCACACTTCAACATCAAACAATACGCACGGCTGTGCGAACATACAACATACACATCAATGAGAGGAGGATGCAGATGACAGACACAGAGTGATTACCAGGCATGGGTCAGAGGCAGGCAGCGTGATTCAGAGTCCGTGTAACAGGCTTTAGTCAGGGGCAGGCAGCGAGAATCAGAGTCCGAGTAAACAGGCTTTGGTCGTGGGCAGGCAGAAGACAGAGCAGAGTCAGGAAACGGGCTGAAGTAGTAAACGGGAGATCAGGCAGCACAGAACACACACACACACACACACACACACACACAATCTTAAATGAACAGCTAAATCTCAGCGGAGAGGAAAACTGGATTTCCATTCCTCTGATAGTCGGGCCCCCAAGGCTCGACTGGAGAGCAGGGTCATGGCATCGTTTCTCACTTCTGAAACGGTCGTTAAACAGAGCCAGAGGAAGCGATAAGCCTTTTAATTACATCCTGCTACAGTAAAGCTAGCGAACACACGCGCACTTTACAGAAACCTTGATGAGGAGAGAGAGGAAGAGGAGCGGTCCATTACACCGCATTATGGAGATGCTAAGGAGCGATATTAAACAATCCTGAAGATTAGAGGGAGATTATCAAAAAGATGCACGGGAGGTCAAAGAAGAGCAGCGTATTTGAGTGTGAGGTGATTTACTGTATTTACAGCAGGGGAAGCTTAAACACGCCTCTCATATGGAGAATGAAGCCTCATGCAGTGCTCAGGTGTGAGTTTCTCACAGACTTCAGCTGAGTATCAAAATCTCCATAGTTCAGTGGGTCTCGTCTATCAAATCTGAGCTTAATTCTGGATTTTCTAAATTTCAGGTGCTGTCTGGACTGTCACTGCCTTTCTACACCTTCCTTTCTTCATGTGTTCAATACTTTTCCCCTGTGTCATTTTATTTAATAACACAGGACTTCATTTGTAAACTAATTAGATTTGTTTGCTTGTCGTATATGCATTCTTTGGTTGTTTTCAATATCCAGTGAAAAGTCAGCGGCACCTTTAGAAAGATGTTTTCTGGGAAAAATGGTGACGTGTTCAGAACTTTTTTCCCCCACTGTATATACACTAAAGAAAAAATCATGTCTTTAAAATTGTTGCAACCTATTTGTGTGTGTGTGGAATTTAAACATTTCCCAGAGATGGGTTGCGGCTGGAAGGGCATCTGTTGCTGGATAAGTTGGCGGTTCATTCCGCTGTGGCGACCCCAGATTAATAAAGGGACTAAGCCGACAATAAAATGAAAGAATGAATGAATTGAAACAAATTACATTTGGTAATGTTCAACTTATTTTGTTTGTATAAATTCAGCCCAAATAAATTGTTTAAAAGCCCTTAACTTAAAAAGATTTAGTAAATCCAAGGAACCATCTTCGAATCATTTTTTCAGTGTACAGAGAAGTAAAAAGCAAATCCTTCCTGTACTTCATTTTTTTTTAGCCATAACAATGTAAGCAAGAAGGTCGCTGGTTCGATCCGCGGCTCAGTTGGCGTTTCTGATCAATGCGGAGACACGTCTGTCACTGGGTCTTTTCAGAAATCAGAAAACTAAATATAATCTTATTTTACACAGACGTGTACAACATTTCATAAATAAAAAATGTCACTTGTTGATTTCTAAATTGTCAACTCATTTCTTAAACAAGTTCATTCATTTTCTTGTCGGCTTAGTCCCTTTATTAATCCGGGGTCGCCACAGCGGAATGAACCGCCAACTTATCCAGCAAGTTTTTACACAGCGGATGCCCTTCCAACCCATCTCTGGGAAACATCCACACACACATTCACACACACACACTCATACACTACGGACAATTTAGTCTACCCAATTCACCTGTACCGCATGTCTTTGGACTGTGGGGGAAACCGGAGCACCCGGAGGAAACCAACGCGAAGGCAGGGAGAACATGCAAACTCCACACAGAAACGCCAACTGAGCCGAGGTTCAAACCAGCGACCTTCTTGCTGTGAGGCGACAGCACTACCTACTGCGCCACTGCCTCGCCCTCTTAAACAAGTCATGTAGGGAAATCAGCAATTGTATATCACTTTAAATCACAAGTCGAGTGAACCATTACACCACTAACTCACAGGGAGTAACACTTTTAAGCTCATGCCAATTCACGAAGACAGAAAACAACTTGTTTTAATCCAGAATTAGGTTTTCAAAGACTGCACATATTGTACCGATTATTTGACATGAACACTTTAACAAAAATGCTGTCAGACTTTCACTGAATGCGAGATGTTTTCTGCTTGTTTTCTTCAAAACCAACCTCAGAATTGATCGCCACAAGATGCTGAACCTGAAACATTCTGACTTTTGAACCCGATGTTCATTTCTGACATCATTCTGCTGTGAAGAAAGCAGCGCTGATGTCACCGTTGCTATGACGCTAGCTGGTTGCTGTAGTGATAAATGGCACCTGAACGTCAGCCTGTCAAGGGCAACTGATGGACAATAGAGTCTGACACATTCTCCCAAAACAAGTCCGCCGCTTGAGTGCTTGTTTGGGAGTCTTTAAGAGGTCTTCAGGATGCGTCGCTTGATGGTTTTGAATGGTCTCTCGCACATCCTCCACAGAGGTTATTCATTATGTGTCATTTAGGGCTGCGTGTGCTTTTGTGGAGTGTTTTGATGATAGCTGGAAGCCCTTTTTGGCTTTAAAAGTGGAAAGAGTCATCATCTGTTGCTTTGCTGAAGATGTGTGTTAAAGCAGCGTTTCAGC